ATCTTACATCAATTTAACAATCTCAATGTATAACCATAAAAAAAAAAAAAAAAAAAAGGACAGAGTGTAATAAATTAAGAATGTAAGAGTATAATAAAATTAATGGAAAACTAGTAAATTCTCTGTAATCATAACCTTCTGTAATTTTTTTTCTCTGCAGTAAAAAAAAAAATTAATGGTAGATTTCTGTGTTTTGTAACAAAACCCCTTTTCCAGTAAAACATAAGACACTGTTTGCCAGGAAAACCCTATCCGAAAACAGACAAAGGGATACACAAACCTTTTCTTAAGGTAAATGAATAATCAGTCTTTCCAGGAACTCAAGAAAAGGATCCTAGACAAAGAAATCCTTCTTCCAGGAAAGTTGATAATACAATACACATTTCTTGTAAAATTCAAACCCCAATAAACATGTCATGTCTGACTACGGTGCTCAGACAGAATCATTTAGCAAGACTACAGCCTCGGGGACTTACACATGCGTACTCCGGACCTAAGATTGCGAAATACGGGATCCGAAATGGCACAAAAAGAGAGGAGAAACATTCAGTCACCGCTGACCCGCTTCGGTGCAGGCAGCCCAGTGCACTGTTATTTTTTTGTTTGTTTTAATGTTTTTATAATAAACTATTTCTTTATTACAGCTTTGCAGCCTGGATTTATTGATAATTTATAACACTGGGAGGTTACTGGGCCATACTGGGTGTTACTGGGTGCTCACTGCAGAATCATTGGGCGATACTGAGGGGCAGTGGGAGGTCATTAGGACACACTGAGTGGTCACTGGCAGGTTATTGGGCTGTACTGAGGGTCACTGGAAGGTCACTGGGCTATACTGGGGGCATTGGGCCACCCTTACCCGAATGTGGTACATCATTGCCTCAGATTTTGGAAGGTACCCCCAGGACCCCACCTGTGGGGGCTGGCGGACCCCTGAACCTCACTGCTGGGCTTTAGGTGACTTCCAAACCCTTCTCCCTGTGGGGTCTCTGTGTGCTGAGTTTTGGGGGTCTCTGGGGTTCGGGGTGGGTGGGCAGCGGGATCTGTTTTCCCTGTGGTTGGTCCGCCCAGTCGGCAGGGGGCACTGTGTCACAAGTGGCAATGCGGATCATGCGAAGCCTCATGGGAGTTGCAGTTCTCTCCGGCGCTTCTGCGCAGTGCAGCCATGGCGTTTAAACAAGGCCGTGGTTCCCAGACCGTGGCACGGATGCCCTGCAGGTTTTGGCAGACTTGCAGGAGCAGGGGAAGCATTCCCTGCAGCCCCTTCCCACTGTAGGAAAATGGGAGCAATGTGCACATCCTGCCGCCTCGAGGTTCCATTCTTTGAGTGGGAACCACCCTGTAGGGAGCAAAGAAACGCTGGTCCTGCAGGAGCTGGAGGTGCTCAAGGGGCAGCAGGACCAAGTCAGGACTCTCAAACCCCTTTAGGATCTTCACCCTCCCCTCTGAGCGCCCTCAGGACACCAAATCCCCTCAGCAACCCCCCGACAGCCCCTCATGGACCTCAAAACCTCCTCGCGAACCCCCGAGCCCCTCCTCTCCACTCTGCCGAGCCCTCCAGCCTTCCCGCCCACAGCTGCGCTCCTCGCAGCCCCCGAGCACATCCCCAACCCCGCCGCAGCCCCCGCTGGGTCTCACAGGGTTCACAGACGATCCGTTCCCCATCGCCGCCATCGCTTTCCCGGCAGCCACCACTGCGCTCTCCGCGCGCACCGCCTGCACAGACCCCGCCCAGCCAATCAGCGCCAGGCCCCGCCCCCCTTTACCGCGCGGGGCACGCTGGGAGTTGTAGTTGCAGCGGCTCAAAGCGCACGGCGAGATTTGGGTCAATTGTGACCCAGCGTTCAGTTCCGGATCGACTGAATATTCCACACACACCTTGGTCTGGGAACAGTAACAGAGCGAAGGCCAATATCCCCTCTCCTCCTCTTCCCTCCCTGTGTTCTCTGCAAGGCTTTTGCACAAGACACAAAGGGGATTGTTCAATTGGTGGGGCTGAGAGTCAGGCCAAGGGAAGATGGTCCAAGGCATTGTTCCCCAGGCATGCTGGAGGCAGTACAGCTGCTTTCTCCTGGGCAAGGATCCTTCTGCAGGAGAAACCATTGTGGTGACCGTGCCCTGTTCCCTTCTGGGGGTCTATTCAGTGGGTTTCCCCTCTGTACTTTACTTGCACGTGGACCTGCAAACCAAACCTTCCAGCACAATCCAGATCAGCCTGAGGCTGTGTGTTCCTTCTCAGGAATGAGCCTTCAAGTTTTTCCCAGAGGTAACTTGCCCCTGCCCCAACCCCTCCTGACTCCTGCCCCACTGGGGGTATAAGCTCGTGTGGGGAAAGCAACTTTGGCTTAGCCAAGGGTGAGTCTTTCCCAACCTCTTTGGGGGTCACCTGAACTGCAGTATCTTTTCTGGGTGGCTGCTGCCTTGTAGGAATCAGGTTGGTGCTGGCAGAAAGTGGTTGGCCTGGTTGGGGTGGGATAATCCACTCCTTACAGCCCTGTCATCAGCCACGATGGAACACAAGGACAGCTCAGCTAAGCCCTGCCTCTTGATGGCTGTAGGGAATGGGGACTGTATTCCTTGTTTGGATGGCAAAGGTCCCACCAGTGTTCAGCTCTCCATCTGTTCCTGCCTTCCAAGGAAATGCTGCACACACTTACCCCTCTTTCCTGAGCCTGCAGGCAAAGCTGTTCCCTTTAAGTGCCTTTGTGCAACAGGAAGTTGCTCCATTTCCCACCGATGGATCAATGGCCCCTTCACCTCGTGTAAGGGATTCCTAGAGCCTTTCTGTGGCACTCCTGGGACTGGCAGCTCTGGGAATGTCCCAGGCAGGCAAAGGCTCCTGCAGCCAAACACTCCCCATTCCCCCAAAGAGCAGCTGGGGCAGCCCCTGATTTTGTAACCAGGAGTGCTGAGGAGCAGCAAGAGCCCAATATCTGCCCTAGATGCTCTGGGCAGCCCCTGAGCCCCCCACTATTGCACTGCCCCAGCCTCTGGAGCCACCACTTTCCATCCGGGGCACGGTGGGCATCTCCCTGTGCTGCTTCCTTTTCAGCTTTCCATTCTCAACTTTTAATGGGCCATGTTAACTTCCTGGCTATCTGTTAATTATTGTCCAATTTCCCTGTTAACTCTAGGGCTGCATTGAGCTCTTTGTAAGGTCATTTATTAAATAACCAGCAGAGGATATATCCAACTCAAATAGACTTTCTGGGCTTTAGCCCTTTGAAGGAGAAATACAAGCACTGGATTAATTTGTAAGCAGTCCTTTGGCCTTCAGCTGCTGTTGGGGCTGGAGAGGACAATGCTGTGCCAGGTGTCTGGTGCCAGGATCCAGCTGAGGTGGGGCTTAGACCTCTGCCTCCAAGGGAGGAGAAAAGATTAAGGAACAAGGCTTGGATGAAGCTGCAGAGAAGATGGAGGAGAAGAAATCCATCTGAAGCATATTCAGCAGTGCTTTATTCATAGCAGGGGGAAAAGTCTCTTTTTGTTGTAAACTCCCCCGGAATAAGCAGGAGTTGGGCATTTGTGGGCACAGGATTGCCTGCAGGCCCCATGCTGCTCTCTGCTGCATGTGCAGCACCTGAAATAGTTAATAAAGGCAAAGATAAATAATTTGCTAATCAAATTATCTTTGCAATGTTAGTGTTAGTGGTTAGTTTGAATTACAAATGTCAAACCACAATGTTATGTTACTATGGAAAGCTATATCTTACTATGTTAAACAAGTTCTGAATGTAAGCTTTAAATGAGTCTATAAAGATATGGGTAAAGGGGCATAGCCGAGCGGTACAACCCCCGGCACAGCCTGTTGCAGCCGAGCGAGGAGCGGCGGAGCAGCCGTGGCAGCAAGCTGCCCGAGGGAGGAGCCGGCCCGAGGGAGGAGCCACTCGCCCCGCTCCGAGAGCAGCCGCTGCCATCTGAGGACCACCTCCATCTGGGACCTGCCACCCGGCATCCAGGCGCCGCCTAAAGGGGAGGGAACAGCGGCACATATAAAAGATCATTACACGTTTTTGGCGGGAAGACCGTTGGTGGAACAGGAGTTTCCCCGGGTCTTCCAGCGCGCTGTTTTGCTTATTTGCCTTCAATAAATTTCTACAATATATTTAAAAGAAAAAATTTATATCTGGTCATTTGACTATAACAGCACCCATGGCCCCAGGGTCCCTCAGAGCAGCCCCGATTCCATATGGCTCGTGCTCTTCTACATGAAAACCCCTCTCTGAGCCTCCTCCTGAGGCAGCAGGGCCTGAGCTGTGGGATACTGAGAATGCTGTGGCAGATGCTGCATTTTCCCAGCCAGGGCCGAGCTCTCCAGTTTGTATTCCCTAGGGATGCAAAGGATGCTCTGCAGGACCAGGCCCGGCCCAAGTCCCAGCTGGGATCCCATGGAAGAGGAACCACTGGGATTTGCCTCTCCTGGGACCAAGAGTATGCAAAGCAAATGAAAGCTGAGTGTGACTTCTGTCAGTGGGACCCCTCTGTGCACAGGTACCCCCAGCCCTGGGGAGGCCGTGCCAGAACCCTGTTACTGTTCCCAGACCAAGGTGTGTGTGGAATATTCAGTCGATCCGGAACTGAACGCTGGGTCACAATTGACCCAAATCTCGCCGTGCGCTTTGAGCCGCTGCAACTACAACTCCCAGCGTGCCCCGCGCGGTAAAGGGGGGCGGGGCCTGGCGCTGATTGGCTGGGCGGGGTCTGTGCAGGCGGTGCGCGCGGAGAGCGCAGTGGTGGCTGCCGGGAAAGCGATGGCGGCGATGGGGAACGGATCGTCTGTGAACCCTGTGAGACCCAGCGGGGGCTGCGGCGGGGTTGGGGATGAGCTCGGGGGCTGCGAGGAGAGCAGCTGTGGGCGGGAAGGCTGGAGGGCTCGGCAGAGTGGAGAGGAGGGGCTCGGGGGTTCGCGAGGAGGTTTTGAGGTCCATGAGGGGCTGTCGGGGGGTTGCTGAGGGGATTTGGTGTCCTGAGGGCGCTCAGAGGGGAGGGTGAAGATCCTAAAGGGGTTTGAGAGTCCTGACTTGGTCCTGCTGCCCCTTGAGCACCTCCAGCTCCTGCAGGACCAGCGTTTCTTTGCTCCCTACAGGGTGGTTCCCACTCAAAGAGTGGAACCTCGAGGCAGCAGGATGTGCACATTGCTCCCATTTTCCTACAGTGGGAAGGGGCTGCAGGGAATGCTTCCCCTGCTCCTGCAAATCTGCCAAAACCTGCAGGGCATCCGTGCCTCGGTCTGGGAACCACGGCGGGGTTGGATCAAGGGGTGCCCTTGATGATCTGGGAGGTCTTTTCCAACCCGTCTGATTCTGGGATTCTCTGGGTGCCATTGCCAGGGCAGCACATGCTGGAGGTTCTGTCCACAGGGGATAGATGTGTCTGTGCAGACAGAGAGACAAGGTTGGTGTGTAAAGATGTGGGGTTAGAAAAGCGGGAGAAGTTCTGGGATGGTTCTGGAAGGAGAAAGAAGCCCCCAGGCCAATGCAAGCAGGCACCCCTGGGCTTGCACATCATCTCCCCTGCCTGCAGGTTCCTGTCCTGGAGAGCAGGCCCTGAGGTGCCCCTGAGCAATGGCCCGGAGGTGAGCCCAGAGCTGTCCCTGAGGTGGCCCTGAGAAGAAGTGGAAGGCAGAGGTGGTGCTGAGGCAGGAGAGCCCCGTGCTGGGGAAGAGGCTGAGCTGGGAGTGCCCAGCAGCGAGAAGGTGCTGTGTCCATGCCCTGTGTGCCAGGTGAGCTGGGGCTTTGCTGCAGAGCTGCGGGTGCTGATTGGAGCGGCTGCAGCTGCTGAGCTGGTGGCACCCAGGAACACAAAGTGTGCACGGCCACGGAGCCTGCAGGGAGGAGCAGGGACAGGGTCAGGGCCACTGTCAGCCCGGGGCTGGCTGGGCAGACACAGCAGTTTTGGGGTCCCCCTGGGAGCTGCCGAGGGTGGAGGGCGGAGCGGGCAGTGGCGGAGCTGGGGGACCCCTGGCAGGGTGGAGGGGGGAGCACGGAGAGGGAGGAGCCACAGGAACCTGAAATGGGGGGAGAGGAAAAGGGGAAACCTGGAGAGAGGGGACCCCTGGGATCCCTGGGACAACAAGGTGGAGAACCTGGAGAGGGGGAATGTCTGGGAAGGCGGCACCCCGAAGGTGAGAGTCGGAGGAGAAGGGACCCTTGGGACCCCCAACACTCCCAGCATCCCTAAGTGGGACCCCCAAGATCCCAGACAGGGGAGACCCACTGAAACCCAGAGAGGGGGAACTCCTGGGAGAGATTTTTTGGGCTAATCTTCATAATTTGGAGTATATTTCAGCTGAATCTCAACTTTTGCAGTTTGGGGGCGGGGCTCTTCTTGCTATTTTTGAGGGGTTTTTTTGCCTGCATGTTGGTGGTTTGAGTTTTTCTGGGCTGAATCGTGATGTTTTGGAGGTCCCCCAAAACCCTGAAGTTGGGAGATGGGGGACCCTTGGATTCCTAGGACCACCAGCAGCCTGGAGAGGGCAGGGACCCCGTAGAAGGGAGACCCCAAATACACACAGGATTCCCAGCAGCCCGGACAGGGGGGACCTCCAGAATCCCAAAGTGGAGAGACCAGAGAGGAGGAGCTCCTGGCTGGGTATTTTTGGGCTGAATCTTGGTGTTTTGGAGGTTTTTATCCTCAGAGGATGTCCGGTGAGTTCTAGAGATGGACTTGGGCAGGAGGAACCCCCAAGGCAATGTGCTCAGCCCTTGTTTCCCCCCAGCAGGATTTGTCCTTCCCAAAGCTTGGGCAGATGGAGGAGGAGGCTGCGAGGAAGATGCCGCGAGCCCCCCAGGCAGGTGAGGAGGAAGTCAGTGCCCCTTTGGCCCTGTCTTGTGGTGCCTGTGGCAGCCGAGCATCGCCCCCGGCTGCAGGACAACCCCGCTGGCACCGCCGTCCTGCTGGGGCTGGATCTGGGGGATGTCCTTGGCCTTCCCTCTGGGCTGGAGGCAAATCCCCTGCCTGTTCTTTTTCCTTCCTGCCCCAGGCCCTGAGCTGAGGACAGAGAGCACGGAGGACAAATCCCCCCGGCAGAGCCTGGTGGGAGAGGCCGTTTTGAAGGGCTCCCCGGCGCAGGAAGGCAGCGGGGAGGAAAAGACCCAGAGGTTCTCCCAGAGGAGGGGCTACAAAGCCAGCCCAGGGAGCTCTGAGGAGGAAAGACCCATCCTGTGCCGGGAAGGCGGCCGGAGCTTGGGCCAGAGCTCCGAGCTGGTGGTCCCTGAGCAGCCTCCCAGCAGGGAGAAGCCCTTCAGGTGCTTGGAATGTGGGAAGAGCTTCAGGCAGAGCTGCACCCTCCTCAGGCACCAGATCATCCACACTGGGGAACGACCCTACACGTGTAGAGAATGTGGGAAGAGCTTCAGGCAGAGGTCTGACCTGATCCGACACCAGCACATCCACACTGGAGAACGGCCCTACACATGTGGGGAATGTGGGAAGAGCTTCAGTGACAGCTCCACCCTCCGCACCCACCAGGGCATCCACACTGGGGAACGGCCCTACACGTGTAGGGAATGTGGGAAGAGGTTTCAGCGCAGCTCAACTCTCGTCAGGCATGAGCAGACACACACGGGGGAGAGGCCCTTCCGCTGCACCGACTGCGGGAAGGGCTTCAACCAGAACTGCACCCTTGTCAACCACCGGCGTATCCACACCGGGGAGAGGCCCTACAAGTGTGGGGAGTGTGGGAAGAGCTTCAGCCAGAGCTCTACCTTGATCTCACACCAACGGACCCACCAGTAAGGCAAGCCCTATGAATGCCCTGACTGCGGGAAGAGCTTCGGCCGCTGCTCCCACCCTGAATGACCCCCCTGATGTTGAGGCAACCCCTGGAGTCCAGTGACTGTCAGTCCATCCCTTTCTACCAGAAAGGGCCAGTCCCTTTCCCAGGGGCAGGTTGTGCCAACAGAACCCTTCTTGGGGGGTGTGTGGAGATTCCTGCCTTGGCTGGGACCCCCCAAGGTCACTGCTGGAGGTTGAGAGCAGAGATCTTCACCCGAGCGTTGGTCTGGAGGAGTTCCATCCCTCTCTAATTCATAATTCTTGCTTTGGTGCCAGCTTGAGTAGAATTGCTTCAACAATTGCTTTAGTGTAGAGCACTGTCCTATCTTATGCTGTCCTACTGGTAGTTTTAGTGTTTCTATTGTGCAGTAAATAATTCTGATGAAGATCTTTTGTCTGATCATTTGTAACCCTAAATAATTCATTTCTATCAATAGATCGGATTTGACATCATTAAAACCTGGGGGACAAAAGAGGTTCAGTCCCACCTCTGTAATTCCTCTAAACTGAAACTGTTGTCATAACCAAGGCTGAGATTGGATCCAGCAGCCCCAGCACCCCACAGTAAGTTGGGACCTCAGGGGGGCCACCCCCCTTTGCCCAACCCCCCTGTGCCCAAAGACCCCCATGGGACTGCTAGACCTGCCAGACCACCCCCTTTTCCATCCTTCTCCCCATTCCTTCCACTTTTCCATGGTGCCCTCAATCTGCAGTCCCCCCCCAGATCACTTTTGGGGTCGCAACCCTGACTTTTCCCCCCTGCTCCTACCCCTTCTTCATCATCCCCCCACTCCCCAGCCCCCCATGCTCAGTTTGGGTGTCCCACCCTGCCCTTTCCCCACTCTTCTGACCTCTCCCACCCATTTTCCATCATCCCCCAAACCTCACTGCCCTTCCCCCTTCACTTCTGGGGTGTCCCACTCCCCTCCCATTTGGTTTGGGGTCCCACCACGCCTTTTATCCCCTCTGATCCCCCTTTTCCCACCGACCTCCCCCTTCCCACCCCCCGCTCACCCAAGAGCTCCTCGCCTGCAGCCGGGGGGGCTCCCAGCACCACCAGTGCCCAGAGAAGCTCCCCCAGAAAAGGGGTTAGGTGGTGTCCTGGGTGGGCTCTGAGTGTGTTTGGGGGTCCTTAAGGGGCTGTGGGGAGGTTTTGGGAAGGTCCCAGCACCTTTTGGGGTGAGCTGGGTGCCTATTGAGGGGCAGGTGCCCTCCCAAAGCCCCCCCAGAGCAGGTGACATGGGGGAACACAGGGGAGTCCCCATTCCTGATCCATCCCAGGGCTGGCTCCACCCCTTGGGATATTCCAAGCCCCCCCTGTGCCCCCCAGTAAATGGGACTGGGGAGAACTGGGAAGCTTTCCTGGGATCACTGGGAGCAGCCAGGTGGAGGCAGACTGACAGCAGGGGAGGGGGGATACATGACCCCCCAAAATCTTCATGGACATGGTGGGGGTCCAGGCTGGGCCCAGGGAACTCAGGAGCTCTGTGGGGAGAGAAAGGAGGGTGACACAGGAGTGGGGGGACAGGGGGGACACCGGGATACACCCAGAGCTGGACTGGATCCAGCAGGGTCAGAACTGGGGCAACTGGGATCATATTGGGAATACCTGAGAGTGGGTGGGAGGCAACTGATATGTACTGGGAGTGACTGGGAGTGACTGGAACTACAGTAGGAGTGAATGGGAGCAACTGGAACCACACTGGGGGCAACTGGGATCATACTGGGAGCAGCTGGGTCCCTACTGGGGTCATATTGGGATCATACTTGGAGTGACTGCAGTAATGCTGGGAGTGTGTGAGAGGGACTGCAGCCATACTGGGGATGAGTGGGATCAAACTGGCTTCGTACTGGATGTGTTTGGAAGTTTCTGGGATCATAGTGGTGGCAACTGTGATTGTACTGGGATCATACTGGGATCAGACTAGGATCATACTGGGAGCAACTGGTTCTATGCTAAGGGCAACTGGGAGCTCCTAGGATCCCACTGGGAGGAACTAAGAGCAACTGGGACCATGCTGGGCACAACTGGGATCATATTGGGAGCAACTGGACCCACAATGAAAGTGGTTGGGGTCATACTGGGAGTGACTGGGAGCACTCTGAGAGCAGTTGGGACCATGCTGGCGTAACTGGGATATACTGGGAGCAAGTGGGATCACACTGGAGGTGACTGGGATCATACTGGGAGCAACTAGGACCATACTGGGGGTGACTGGGAGTGGCTGTGAGCAACTGGGATGATGCTGGAAGCTACTGGGAGCAACTGGGAGTGAGTGGGA